ATTATTTATGGATTTATGGATTTATCGATCGTTGGATTTTGTATAGGTAATTTTCACAGAGTCTCGTTCCCTAGAAGATGATAATGAATACGTTGTTGGAGCGGTGAAAAATGAAATGAATCCGCAGGTGATAACAAGAAGAAAACACGGGATTTGTGATCTGCATCCGGTTCCATAAGCTAAAAATAAAAAAAAAAAAAATTACAACAAACGACAAACAATTTTTTAATAATGATAATAATAATTTAGATCGTCACGATCATTTCGTCAACGAGAGAAAAAAAAAGGAAAATTTTTTTAGGGTTTTCCTTAATTTTCTTTCCTTTTCCACTCCCCCCAACCCATTTACCCCTTTCCTTACCCTTTCCAACCCCTTCGCGACACTTTCCCATCATCCCCCCCCGTTCGTTCTCTGTTCCTTCTTTCCTTCCTCTTTTTCTTCTTCTCCTACTGGTGTACCAGGGAAAAATTTTCTCCTTACGTCTTTTCCTTTTCTAATTATCTAAATTAGAGATTAATTGATTCAACGTGGCGTAAGAATTTTCATTTTCGTTTTATATTTTATCTCTTACTCTCTCTCTCTCTCTCCTTTTTTTGTATGCGTGTGCGTGCGTGCGTGTTTAAAACGAATGAATTCTTTAAAACGTTTTTCGATTTTGGCAAAAGTATAAAAGGTTTTAATTTATAATAATAATATATATATTTTTCCAATGTGAAAAACACTTGTTATTATTATTATTAGACTTTTCCGACGTAGGTGACAAATTTTAAAACGTGACTTTTAAACTATCGTCGTTTAATTACTTATACATATCTATTATTATTATTATTATTAATTTTTCAAAATGGAATATTAACAAACGGGCCTTTTTATTTTTAAATATTTACACGACAGAATTTATATATATATGCTATTACGTAATAGTAATTAAAAACAAACAAGTTTTCAAAAAACGACACAAAAAAAAACGTTTTCCAATTTAATAATAATAATAATAATAACGATAATATTAATTTTATATATATTTATTATATATGGTTAAATCACGCGTTATCTCAAATAATGGGGGATATGATGAACCGGAAATGATTTCGATTTGCTTTTTTATTTTTTATTTTTTTCCGGGGGAAGGGGAAAGAGGGGAGGAGGGAGAGAGGGGAAGTCGTTAACCAAACTGAGGAAAGTTTAAAGAACGATTTGATATTTTTTTTAAATTCTTAAAAGTTTTTATATACAAAAGATTTAGTCGAATTCGAAAAAAAAATGGCGTCGTTTTGATTTTTCAAATGTATAAAATTTAATATATCGTTTCGCCTTCAAAAATTTTTTATGAATGATGAAGGGGAAGGGGGAGAAGAGGAAGAAGAGGAAAAAAAGGGGGGGAGAAAAAGTGATAATGATGATAATGAAATTTTATTTTCGTATCGATCCTTTGAATTTTTATACATTAATAACAACGTCTTTTAATCAATTTTAGATCATCATTATTATTCGTTGTGGGGTGAGGGGAGGGTAGGAAAGGAGAGTAGGGAAGAGGAGGTGGTAGAAATTTAAAAAAAAAAAATTACTAAATAAATTGAAAAAATGTATTTTCTTGAAAATTTACACAAAGGAATTAAATAAAAAGAAAATGATTGAGAGGAAATGAATTTTTTTTTTTTCGTCGTGTCGGTAAATATTTACGTTCGACCGAACCGTACGAATTTCAAACGTTTTTAAATTGGCGGGAAAAAGAAAAAGTGTAGCAGAAGGATTTTTTTATTAAAAAAGAATCGAGGAAAAAACCTCCCCAATTAAAAAAAAATTTTTTTTTTAAAAGGAGACAATTTAATATGGTTACGAAATTTCTTTTCTTAGAAATCAAAAGAAAAGGTTCGATAATAAGTTCGAAAGGTTTTTTTTAATAAATAAAAATTATAGGAAAAAATAAAAATACCTTTTTGGCCTCTTCCCCTTCCCCCTTCTTCCCCGACGAAATTTTTTTTCCCTCCCTCCCTCCCTTCCGTTCGTTACTTACACGTCGCAAAATTTATTTTTAAATCGTTCGTTAATAATTTTGTTCTTATTTTTTTTAAACAACAAAATAAAATAATCGTAAATGAACAAATGAACGAATGAACGAATGAATGATTGATTGATTGAATGAATGAGTGAGAGAATGAAGGAAAGATTACGATAGTGATTATTTATATAATTTAAAAAAAAAATAAAAAACGATTCGGAACCATTTTCCCTTCTTTGATTTTTATTTTAAAAATAAATTGAATGATTGAATGAATGAATGATTGATTGAATGAATGAATGATTGAATGAATGAGTGAACGAACGATGATGATTATGACGGTCATTTATATAATTCTGAAAATATAAAAAAAAAAAGCGACCCGAACTGATTTTTTTTTTAAATAAAAACATTCGGACTTTTTTTCTCTCTCCCTTTTTGATAAAAAAAAAAAAAAAACGTGGAAGTAGAAACGTGCGTGCACGTACAAACAAAAACGTAATAAGTGAGTTTTTTTAAAAAAAAAAAAAAAAAGTTGTTAAACACGAAAAAACAATTTTCCATAATTAAAAAAAAAAAAAAAAAATTTTTTTTAAAATTTTTTCAATTATTATCTCACCCCCCCTCTCCCCCCACTTCCCACTTTCCTTTAACAATCTCTATTATTATTATTATTATCGTTTAAATTGCAATTAAAAAAAAAATAAAAACAAACAATTATCTCGTCTGCTTGTAAAATCAGGTAAACAAAAAAAAAAGAAAATTTTAACAAAACGATCAATCACGATCGATAAAAATGAAAAATGTCATTAATTTGTCTCCTTTTTTGCCATCGTAAAAAAACGAAAAAAAAAACGAAAGATGAAGAAGAGGGAAGAAGAAGGAAGAAAAAGGAAGAAGACAGGAAGACAGAAAAAAAAATACAAAATGGTGGAAGAGCAAAAGAAAAAAAAAACCTATAACGAAAATAGATAAAGATGTTAAAGTTAGATAAAAAACCTAATTTATTACTCGCAAAATCTCATTGGGAATTTACCTTCTGCCGCACCTTATAAAATTTATGTACTTTATCTATAATTGATATACCGTGGGAGAAGACATACACATATATATATATAAATAAAATTGACGGAGCAGTTTAAAAATTTCTTTTGATCATTCAATTTCTATAATTTTTTTTTTTTTTACGCTTTTAAAATGTGTGTGCGTGTGTGCGTGTGCGTGCGTTTGCTTTTTTTTTGTGTAAAAGTCCGAATCCCAAAGCAATAAAACCACATACGTACGTTCGGGTAAAAAGAAATGATTAAAGGTTTACAGAACGAAAAAACAAGGAGGAGGGGAGTAGGAAATTTTACCTTTAACGAAAATCCCGAAAATTTTTAACGAATATTTTTCTGCCACGACAAACGACAAAAATCCCTTTTTAGTAAAAACCTAATATTTATTTATACTTAATAAAAATAAAAAAAAATATATCAAATTTTAATTATTATCGATCGATTTTGTGATAAAGGATCGTAATTACACCATCGGCGATAATGATGATGATTTCTGGATGGAGGAAATTTAAAATATTCATCTACCGCCACTTCGTTTCCTCCCCCCACCCCTTCGTTGGAATTAAAATCAAAAAGAGAGAGAGAGGGAGAGTAAGGGCAAGGGGGAAGAAAAAGAACTCGCAAAAAATGATAAAAAATAAAAGTGAGAGAGAGATAGGAGGAGAGGGAGAGTGGTGAGGGGGCGAAGCGGGGGTTGGGGAGACAAGGGTTATTATTAAATAAGAAAACAAAATTTTCAAAAAAAAAAAAATTCCAATAAAAAAATAAAATTCTTGTTTAAATATTTTTCTGTACAAAAATAAATAAATACAAAAAAAAAAAAATTCTTCCAATATAACAATAAAATTTAATTATATTTATTTATTTATATATAAACAAAAAAAAATTATTTAATTTTCCGACTTTAATAAAAAAAAAATCCATAGAGTAATAAAATTAAATATTATACTTTTCCACTACCCTCACTCACCCCCTTCCCCTCCCCCTCGTTCCATTCTTCTTTGGTTTTATACCTAACAGAAACTATTTCCCTTTCTTCTTTCATTCATTACGTTTTCCCGCCAATTTTTTTAAAATAAAAAAAAACGATGCGTTTTAAATCGATCATTGTTTTTTTAAATTGTGACGTCATACAATTTAAAAAATTTTTCCCGCGTAAATATTTACTCCGAAAGAATAATTCAAATTTTTTTTTTCTTATTTTTCTTCGAAAACTTATTTTAATAAAATTAAATTAAACAAAACATGTCAGTCACTTACTCCTCGGTTTGATAATAATAATAATAATAATAATAATAATAATAATAATAATAATAATAATAATAATTTTTTTAATAAACTAATATTATTTTTTCCCTTCTCTCTCTTCCCCTCACCCTTTCCCCTCCCTCCGTTCCTTTTTTTTTTGATTTATGTGCCAGCTGACACGTCATGTGTTTGCTTGCTGACACACGGAAAAATTTCCCTCGAGTCCATACTGATTTATTATTATTATTATTATTATAAACGAAAAATATTTCACACGCTTTAAGTTTTTATAAATAATAATAAAAATAATGATAATGATAATGATGATGATGGTAATTTTCATTCCGACGAAAACATTTCTTTCCTTTTTCTTTTCGACGATTTAAAAATTTTTTTTTTTAACGGTTTTTTTTTGTTGTAATTATTATCATCATTATCATCGTATAAATTTGCAATAAGTTTTACCTGTCGCGTACTGGGGGAGGGGACGGGGGCGTACCTGAAACGCGGCGTAACTAAATATAATTCTTTCGTTTTTTTATTTTTAAAAATATAAATTAGAAAAGAAAAGAAGGACTTAAATGAAAATAAATAATTCGTAAAAGTTTTTAAATGAAATTTAAATTTATGAGATAAATTTAAAACCCGAATTAAAATAATATATATATATATATATATATATATAAAAGTCTTAAGGTTCAGGCACGCGGGGGAAGTGGCGGTGATGATAATAATAATAAAACATTTGACAATGAAAAATGAACGGCGTGGATTTTGAAAGAAAGAGAAAAAAAAATTTTTTTTTTTTTTTACCTTGAACTCTATCCGCTCTTGATTTGTTTGGAAGTGACGTGTCTTGGCTGGACATGACTTTTATCAATGGCTTATCACCTTTGACGCTTTCTTCGTTTGTTTTCCAGTAAATTGTCGATATCGATGCTAAACACTTGAGTTTCATGTCTCCATCTTTAAAATGTTTTGCACTTACGCGAAATTGTAATCCTAATATTGTTTTTTGTAATTCTTCGTCTCCTATGAACATCGTATGCGGTCCTCTTAGAAAAGATGAATCCGCCTGGAAAAAAAAAATCCAGTTTAATTTTTTTTTAATTTCAATGTTAATAAATTCCTCCCCCCCAACCGCCCGTTACGCCCCCCTTCCGGAAAAAAAAAAGAAAAATAAAAACATCCTGTATAACGATCGATGAAATCGATTCAGATTAATTAATCAAAATAAACCTTAGTCATGAGAATTTTTTCCTTTTTTCCTTTTTTTTTTTAAAGAAAAGAAATAAGTGTAATCAAAAAATTGTAAAAGGAAAAAAAATGGAATTTTATAAAAGGAAAAAAAAGAGCAACTCACCTTTTCGCCATTAATAAACCAATCGAGTTGAGCTGGAGGATTTGAACTTCCTGACGTGCAATTTAAATTAACCGTATCACCAATTTGATATCTCGGTTTTCCTCCGCTTATTTTAGGGCCCTCTTCGGGTAAAGCTATAAAAAAAAAATTTTATTAATAATGATGATTATTCAATAACAAAAAAAAATCCCGTTGCCAACCGTACGAAAAAAAAAAAAACTTTTTTTTTTTCTTTTTTTCTTTTTCCTTTTTCGGTAGGTTTAAATAATTAAAACTTTTATTATTATTATTATTATTATTATAATCATTTAGAGTCGTAAATAAAAAAAAATTATTATTATTATTATTAAAAGTTTTTAATTATTAAATTATGTTAATTATTAATTAATTAAATTTTTAATAATGGTAAAAAAAAAAAAAAAATGAATTTAAAGGTGATGATGATGATGAAATTTCTTTTTTTTTTTGACCTCGAAAGAATAATAATGAGGAGAAAGGAAAGACTGATGAGGGGAGGGGAGGGAAGAGGAGAAGGGTAGATTTAAAGCAGCAGAAGAAAACGAAAAAGTTTTTCTTTATAAATATATATTTATATATATAAAAGTTGTAAAAACAAGTAAATGAATGACGTTAAATGAGTAAAAACCTGTACACACGTTCCATTGGGACTTGAGAAATTTTTTAATAATTTCAAAAAAAAGGAAAAACTTTTGTTTGACTGGAGAAAAATGAGGGGAGTAGGGAGGAGAAGGGAAAGGAAGGCGCAAAAAAAATTATTTTTCATTTTTAAAAAAACACGTATTTGATTTCTGTCGTTGACTTTTTTTTTCTTTTTTACCCCCCATACTTTCTCTCTCTCTCTCTTTAAAAACAAAACAAAATTTTTTTTTTTTAATAATAAATTCGACGACGAATTGCCAACATGAAAAAAACAAAATTTTTTTTTTAATAATATTAATTTAAAAATCAATCGATCGAATATCGAAAAATCAAATTCGAAATTTTCCAAAAAAAAAAAAATTTGATTTTGAAAATTAAATTTTTTTTTTTTCTCTCTCTCTCTCTCTCTCTCTCTGTTACTGCCAAGAAAAATCATTATTATTATCATCATCATCAACAACATCATCATTTAGTTAATTAGACATTGTTTTGTTTTGTTATTGTTTTCAATTTTTTTTTTTGTTTTTTCTCTTTTCCTTTTAATTAAAAAGTTAATAAACAAAAAAATAATAATAATGATGAATTGGAAATTGAAGAATAAAAAGCGTAAATTATAAACGATGGGAGGGGAGGGGTTGGGAAAAAAAAATTTTTTTTCCAGTGCCAAAAAATATAAAATTTTTTTTTATTTTTAAAACGTTTAAAGTTCTAGAAATTTTCTTTAACCGCCATCACCACCACCGCCACCGCCGCCAACGATATATTTTTCCTCTCTCCAAAGTGCGTGATAATAATAATGATAAGAACAAAACAAAAACAAAAACAAAAAAAAAAAATTTTTTTTTTGTTTTTTACCAGCATGTTGTTTGTTACTCGTCAAATTTTTCCAGTTTTTTGTGTATTCACTCGGAGAAAAACAAAAAAAAAAACAATTCGTTTTTTTTTTTTTGTTTTAAACAAAAAAAAAACGAATACAACAAACAAACAAGTGAGGAATGAACGAACAAACAAACAAAACAAAACAAAAAAAAACAAACGCGGGTTTTTAAATTAATTGATACCTTATACTTCTTTTCAACAATTAAATAAACTTTTTTTTTTATTTTTTATTTTATTTAAACAAAAGAAAATAAATTTTTAAAAAAATTATTATTATTATTATTATCATTATTATTATCATCATCATTACTTTTTTTTTTTGTTTAAACAAAAGAATTTCATTTGAAAAAGGTTGAAAAAAGGTTTTTTACAAAAAATAAAAAAATTCAAAAAAAATTTTTTTTTTTTTTTTTTAATTTTAATTGTCGTAATGATAATAATAATAATAATTTTAAGAGAAGAAAAAAACCCTTCACTGGAATTATTATTATTATTATTATTATTAATAATAATAATATTAATAATGGTAATAATAATAATAAAATAAATTATAGTGCTAAATATAACAAATAAGGGGTGTGGTAGGTTCGTTGTTGATAGTTGGAAAGAGAGAGAGAGTAAAAGAGAGTAAGAAAGAGTGAGAGAAAGAGAAGAAAGAGAGGTGAAGGAAGAGAGAGAGAAAACATCAACACCCACTCCTTATTATCCCACGTTGTTTTCTTTTTTGTTTTTCTGGAAGGGGTTTTAAAAGGAAAAAATTTAAAAAAAAAAGGGAATAAAGGTACGACGGTAAAAGTGGCAGTAGAGGTGGCGGTGGAGATGGTGGTGGTGGTGGCGGGGGCGTCGACGATACCGGCGGTTTAACTCGAATGTAAAAAAAAAATTTGTTAAATGAGATAAAACTAAAGTGGAACAATTTTTCCTCAGTAAAATTTTTGAGGCGAGCTAACCGGGAAAACCTTTTTTTTCCCTTTGTTTAAAACCCCTGGAAAAAAAAAAAATAAAATAAAAATTTACTTTCAATTTACTTTTAAATGAGTTCTCACACACACACGCACGCGTACGCACCCACACGCACTCGCACGCACACAAACTCAAGTAGAAGAAAAAAAAATATTAATGAAAATTTTTGAATTTCCTTTGCCATTTCACGCAAGCACACGCATTTTTTAAAAATCAAAATTACAAAGTTGGATGCATTGGAAAATAATTTTAAACTGATTAATAATAATAATGATAATAATAATAATTAAAATTTTAATTGTTTAAACAAAAACCCGATCGATTCCAATATTTTTATTTAAAAATTTAAATTCACTAATTTAAATTTTAAAAAGGAAATTTTTTTCCTTTTTTTCCTTTTTTCCATTTTTTTTTTGTATAAAAATAAAAAACCTCTCTGAATTAATTTGTTCAGACTTTTGTGAAAAGTTTGTTCATCCAAAATCCTGACATTTAAAATTGTCAAATGACAACAATCCGCTTGACGATTTGATTTTCCGTTTGATCTAATCTCAAATCCTTTTGTCAAATCCGATTCGTGTTTTGTTTGTACTGGAATTTTTTTTTCAAAGTCTAATTTTCAAACGACGGCGAGGACGACGAGTCATTTTCAAAGTCCCCCTCCCACTTCCCCCCCGGAAAACTCTCACCCCCTCTTCATTTTCAACACTCTTTCAAATAATAAATAAATAATAAAGTAATAAAATTTTTATAACATAATTAAATTTTTCCCTTTTATCCTTCTTTTCTGGAAAATTTTTTTTTTTAAAAACAGGAATGCATTTCCGCTTTTCCCGGACACTTTTGACATATTTGCTAATAAAGTCTCAACGCTTTGAACGATAGCAAATTTATTTTCATAAGCTCAATATTAAAAAAATGCATAAATAAATGACGTGTATCAATTATCAAATTTTTTTTTTTTTACTCCCGCCATCTCGTTATCATTCGATCGTGATAAAAAAAATTAATAAAAAAATAAAATTAAATGTATAAACCGGATATGTTTACTTTTTTACGTTTTTACACTACCATTTCCGGTTAATTTGTTTATAAACGTTTTAGAAAACAAACAAACAAATGTTTAAGAATAAAAAAAAAAAAAAAAAATAAAGAGGATTCTTTTATTATTAGTGTACAAAGTTGAGGGTAATTTAACAGTTCTTTTGTCACATCTTAAGACGTGTCACGACAGATTTAAGAATGACATTTCTTCCCGTGGAGAGAAAAAAACAGGAGAAAAAAAAACTGGAGAAGAAGAAGGAGGAAAAAAAAGAAAATCCGATTTTTTTTTTCTTTTCTTATTCCGTTCGGAATTTTATTATTTTATTTTTATTTTTCCTCTTCTTTTTTTTTTTAAATTTTATTTTAAAAAAGGCGGGAAATCGAATAAAACCGGAAATGGTGGTTGAAACCGTATTGAATTTAAAAAAAAAAAAAGAAAATGGCGGCTGTAACATTCGATACCGATTTAAAAAAAAATTTTTTGTTTTTAATTTATTTAAAATTTTGTTGTTGTTGTTGTTGTTATTGTTAAACATTCGAGTTAAATGTTTTTTTTTTTTTTTTATAAAAAGAAAAGAAAATCTCGAGATTTATATTTTAAAATCTTTTAAATCCGTTACAGAGTAAAACCGAATCGCAGCATCACCATCACTTTACTTACTCTCTCATTTTACTTACTCGAAGCTTAATATTTAAATCCTTTTCATCTTTTCTTATTTTTTACTGATCGTTCCAGAAAAAAAAAAAAATTAAATTAACCGCTGGAAAAATGATGATGACGTAACGGAAGTCGTGGAATATGTTTTTATTCGTCCGGAAATTCTTTTCCTCCAAGATTTTTTTCTCACATACGCGACGGACAATTTTTTTTTTTTTTACTTCCAACCAATACGAATTTGATGATTCTTTCCAGAAGGGTTTCTTTTCTCTCTCTACCTCCCTCCTCATCCCTTCCCCCTACTAAAAAAAAATGCAAAAACAAACGCCGGAAAAGAATAAAAAAAAAAAAATAAGGGCAATTTAAAAACGTCGTCATGTCGTTTTCTCTCTCTCTACATGAACCTATTTCGAAAAGTGTTTTTTTTTTTTAGAAAATAATAGTAGTGGATTTAGAATGAAAGAGAGAGAGACAAAAAGGGAGGGAGGGGAAAGAGTGAGAGAGAGAGAGAGAGAGAGAAACAACACCTGGAGTTAGATTAAAGCATAAACTATGTGAAAAAAGGGTTTTTGTTGAATTATTCACGAAAGCACACTTTTGATTTTTAATACGACTGGAAAGGTGAAAAATTTTTGGTCGTTATTAATAATAATAATAATAATAATGATAATAATAATAATAATTTTTCAAAATAGGATTAATTGTTAAACCAGGTGACGACAATTGTGACACGTTGACTTTGTTTTTATTTTTCCTCCGCCCTCTGTCTGTCTCTTTCTATCCCCTCCTTTTTCTCCAGTCGAAAAAAAAAATAAATTCTTTACACGCATTCTTCAAATATCAAACGTAAACAATAATAATAATAATAATAATAATAATAATAATAATAATAATAATAATAATAATAATAATAATAATAATAATAATAATAATAATTTTTAATTTAAACTCAAAACTTATCCAGGTTATTACACGTCATTTTAAATTAAATTCATTTATTTTTAAGAACAACTCGAATCGCGTGACTGAAAAATTAAATAATTTTTTTTTTCCTTTTTTTCCCTTTCCCCCCTTTTCCCTCTCCGGTATTTTTTTCCAGACGGGAAAATCCCACAAAAAAAAAAACAGGGAATTTTTTTTCTTTTCTGGAATAATTTTGTTTTTCTTTATTTTTTTTTAAAAATATTATTATAATTTTTGAATATGGAGTTTTTTTTTATTTTGAAAGAGCCGCGTACAATACGACAAAAACAAACAAAAAGGACGAAAAAAATAAGAAAAATAATTTTTTTTTTCGGGGAGAAAAAAAATGAAAGAAAAATACTCTGAGGGTATAAGAAAGAAAGAAAAAAAGAAAAAAAATGGCGAAATAATTTTTTTTTTTGCGATTCTCAAAGAAAAATACCCACACACACGCACATGCACACACCTATACTTGGAAAATGATAATTTAATATAAATTGAAAAAAAGGTTTGACGTAACGTATGTGTAATAATAATACATTTCGCTGTCGTCGCCAACGCACCACCGCCACCGCTCGTTCATTCGCCGTAAACGTTTAATTAATGTAATAAATAATGAGAAATATCGTTAACACCCACACGCACACGAGAGAGAGAGAGAAAAAAAAACGAAGAATGAAAAACAGAAAGGGAAAAAGAAACACACCCAGAAAGAAACAAACAAACAAAGAGAAAGAAAAGGGACAAAGAAAGAGAGAGAGAGACAAACACAAACACAACACACAGAGAAAGGGAGAGAGAGAATACAACAAACACACAGAGAGAGAAAGAGAAAGCGACAAACAGACAGAGAGAAAGAAACAAACAAACAGAGAAAGAGAGAAAATGACAAACACACACAGAGAGAGAGAGAGAGAGAGAGATCTGTAATCTTCTTTTTCCCAAGCATCACTTTTTTTTTAAAAAAATGAATTTTTACAATTACGTCGATTTAAAGTCATTAAAAAAAAACATCAAAAGTAAATCAGATTAAAAAAAAAAAAAATTTTAATAAATAATTCTGCTTTTTTTTTTTTAATCAACGTTTTCGACTTTCAAATTATTAATTTAATTACATTAACTATATTAGTATTAATAATAATAATAATAATAATGATAAAAGCATTCGGAGTTCAGCATTCGAAAAGTGCTTTGGCATTTATTTAAATCGTTCGTGTGAGCATTTCAACCAACGATAACTGACTGCATTCGCTCTCATTAAATAAAATAAAATCGGCGAAATGTATCGTAAACCTATGACGTCATAGAAATCCGTTACAAAATAAACACTGAAATGAAATTAACGAAGTCGACGACGACGACTAAAACGAAACCAACAGCAAGGCCGAAAAAATTTAATGAAAATTTAATCCATCTAAAACAAATCGATTAATCGAAATATATCGATCAATTAAATTATCGATTTAAAAAAAAAATTCATTTCTTTGACATAAAACATATTACAATTGTCTTAAACAATAATAATAATGATACAAATCATAAAAAGGATAGAATTTTTTTAAGTATTAGCAAAATTTATTCTAATCAGTGGCGTATTCAGTCAGTTTTAATTTTAAAAAAATATTCGCACAAATTGCACAAACGCACACGAAAATTAAAATTTAAACGTTTACATTTATAAAATATTTAAATTTACAAAAATTAATTTAAATGAGTTAAAATTGTTACGTCAAAAGCCATCATCATTATTATTATCATCATCATCGCAACAAAAATGATGGAGAAATTTTAAATTTTCCAAAATTCAAACCGTTTCAAATATTCGTCAAATTTTTTTTTTTTTTACGCATCGTCATTCGTTCCGTAAAAAAAAAAAGTCAAAAAAATTTTTCTGGAACGAACTAAACTAACCGGCGTTAAAATTTGAAAATTCTGAAGGAAAACATTGAATTCTCCCCCCCTCATCCCCTTCTCCCACTACCTTCCTTTTATTAAAATATTTTCCGACTCGAAATTTATTTATTTTTGTGTTTTTCATCATTTATCGGATAAATTTTAGGGGAAAAAAAAAAAAGATGAAGCGAGGAGGCGGGGCGAAGTGGGTAGGAAGGATGAGTCGTCGGAGAAGGAGGAGTAGGCGGGGTGACGGCAGCATCGAGAGGACAAAGAAAAGTATAAGAGGAGGAACGAGAGAAGGGAAGGGGCGGGGTTTAAAAATTTTTTTTTTTTTTTTAAGTTTCAAGAAATTTTTTTGTTTTTTATCCGATTCGAAAAACCGTTAAAAATTCTTTAAATTTTTAAATTCGAAAAAATTTTTTTTTTTTTTAGAAGGAAAATTTCGAATTTAAAAAAAAAAAAAAAATTTCAAAAAATAAATTAACCGTTAAAAACTAAATAATAAAACGATGAACAAAGCAAAATAATAATAATAATATATAAAGATCGACATTGACCTTTTAAATCTCTATAATTATTATTATTATAGCGCTATAATCGATATTTTAACTTTATCGTTATAGATTTTAATTATCACTTTTTTTTCCAACAGAAACTTTTTTTTCATTTTTTATAGTTATAAATTATTGCTATAAAAAAATATAGATTAGATATTACTATAAATTAATAAAGAGAGAGAGAAAGAGTGGGGGGGAGGGAAAATGATTAAAATTATTATTATTATTATTATAATTTAACTCATAAAAATTCAAAGTAGTTGAACTAATAAGGAAGAAAATAGAATAGAAAAAAAAAAAAACTTATTTTCCTGGAATTTATCCAGGTTTGATTATTCAAATTAAAAAAACATTTAAATTATCCAGTTTTTCTTTTGTTCTTTTTTTTTTTAATTGTCTCATGATAATAATAATAATAATTATGGAATCAATCGTATTGTTTTGGTAGTCGCTGGAAAAACAAAAAAAAAATGTGACGTTGGAAAAAAAAAAATTTTCTTTCGTTTGTTTATTTTATTAAAAACGTTTCCAGTCGCGTTTTTTTTTTTTTTTTTTTAAATTATCTTTATTACACTCTCCAGAAATTCCAGAATTTAAAAAAAAAAAATTTTTTTTCTCCAGTTTTTAATAAAAAAATAAAAAAAAAAAATTAAAAAAAAAATTAATATCGTCGATACATCGAATCAATAATTATTATTATTATTATAGTTAAAAAATATTTGGAATTTTTCAAAGGTATAAAAACAAACAAACAAACAAACGACGGAAGGTTTTTTTTTTTTAATTAATAACGTAATTATAAATTTTTTTTTTCTACCCAAAAAAAAAAATTTTTTCTTCTCTTTTTATCTTCCTCTTTCTCTCAACTCTTTCTCCCCGTCTCCCCAACAAACAAAAAAATTTGTTTGTTTAAAAAATTAAATAAATAAATAATTTTTTATTTTTATTTTTCGTCTTCTGCTTTTTATTTATTTATTTTTTTGTTAAAAATTAACGATATAAATTTTTTTTTTTTTTTTTTTAAAGCTCCAATTTTCACTCGAATAACTTTTGGTGGAAAAATCATTCGACTATTTCCAATTTTTAATTTGTTTTACTGTTGCTGTTGTTACTGGCTGTTTGTTTGTTTTACTGCTCTTTTTTTTTTTTTAATGGCTTGAGTTAGCAATTTTCGATTTTAAAAACATAAAACGATGATGATAATGATAATGATAATAATAATGATGATAAAACTTAGTTTTTTATACTCTCGCCTTTCAAATCGAAAAAAAAAAAAAATTCCTTTTAAAATCTTTTCCTTTTTGTATACGAAACGTGATAAAGTTCATTGATTAAAAAAAAAAGAAAACTTTTCTCCAGGAAAATAATAATAATAATAATTAACTGGAAAATTACGATAAGGAAAAGAAAAAAAATAATCAAACGCGAAATATTCTCGTTAAAAAAAATTAATTAATTTTTTTTACGATCATATAAAAATTAATTGTAGGAAAAAATAAATAAACACCGGAACCGGAAATGACAAACGTGGTGGTGATGATAATAATAATAATAATATTTTAAAAGAGTTTTAAATATAATGTAATAATCATAAACAACTCACCAACGACAACCATTTGTCCGTGATCGGTAACGGTACGAAATTCAGGTGCTTCACCGGAAACTTCGCATTTATAACGACCGGAACTTGACAAATCAACTTTTGATAAAACTACGGTGCTTTCCGTAGAATTCGACACCTTTAACACAAAAAAAAAAAAACAAATTTAAATAAATAAATAAAAATTAATATAAAAACCGAGGGAGGGAGAGAGAGAGAGAGAGAAACACAACGTCATCGTCATCATCACGGATGAAGGATTTTATCTACACGTTGTTATAATAAACATGTATGGAAAAAAAAATGAGGGAGTGTGGGAAAGACGTAGGAAGGGAGGAAGGAGGGTGAGAAAAAGGGAAAAAAAACTTTCTGGAAAAACAAACTAATAAAAACAAAATTAAAAAAATATTTTATTAAATTTGTTTAAAAAACTTTTTAATATTTAATAGGCTGATCGTATGTAAAAAAAAAAAAGTTTTTAAAACTACAAAAAAAAAAAAAATTGTGTTTACGTAATTACGCTTTCGAGTCTTTATATATACATGTAATAAAATTTTTAAATATAAATAACCTGGAGAGAAAAACTGGAAAAATATTTTATTTTAAAAATAAAAATCACACTTGCTGGAAAACAAAAAAAAAACGATACTTTTATTAAACCAGGAAAAATCTATTACGCACAACCTCCTCTCCACCCGGACCCGGTAGCAGAGAGAGTGTGGGGGAGACGCACCGGAAGCCACTACCCAACTAAAATTCCTGGAGAGAGGGGAGCTCGTGGGAGTTTTAACCTGTATTTCGGGCTCGACTCTTTCCTGAGCCAGAACTATCAGGTCTATCCGAGAAAGATCCCGGTACTTCCCCTTTTTACTCTTCAGGAGGCAGTCCTGAGCTGGCACCATCGGTCCTACCACTTCTGTAGAGTCTGCGGGTTTCCGGAGAGAGAGTGAGAGAGATATCCGGGGTCCCGAATCCCGTTTATCGTTCATCTCTTTTCCTTTCACGTCACACCTCTGTATTATCCCAATTTGGATCAAGTAACCAGTTCGACCCCCTTGAACAAGAGTCATTAAAATACTTATCCCTAATGTAGGTACAGGTTTGTTCTTGTTTGAACAAGCTGTTCTCCCACTCTCAGAATTTGAACCCACGATTCTCAACTCGGGGATCTTCAGGCTCATTTCGACTCTACCTTCCTCTATCTCCCCAAGGCATTCAAGTTGTTTACCCCTAACGGATGTCTAGTCATTCAACCCCAAAACCCCAGCCCCCAAAACATCCTCTCTGTACCTACCCTCCGAGATCTTTTTAGATGAGTGAACGGAGTCGGAAAAGAATATTAAAAAAAAATTTTTTTTCTTCTTCGTATTATTTTTAAAAATCCTTTAAAACATGTAGTAACGTTTAATGATTTAAAAAAGAAAAAAAAATAAAAAAAGGAAAGAAAAAAAAGGAAAAAAAAGGAAGATGAAAAATTATTTTCGAATAATTTTCAAATATAATATTTTCATTGAAAATCAATTATAATTTAATTTCTGTTTTAACTCCCAACAGAAAAAAAATTTTCTTTTTTTTTTCTTTTAAAATTAAATTTTCTTATTTTCTTTGATTTTTCACAAAAAAAAGGAAAAAAAGGAAAGAAAAAAAAATTTTAAATTAAAAAAAATATATATATATATATATATTACGCTTAATATCAGGTGTCAATGTTTTCTTCTTCCCCGATTTCTTTAAAAAAAAAAAGATGGCGGAAGTAAAAAAATCATTTTTTAAATATTCGAACGAAAATAAATAAATAAAAAAACATGACGGAAACAACATAAACAACCCAAACAACAACAACAAGTAAAACACAATTTGTCGTTTATATTTTATTTAAAAATCCCAAAATTTTAATTTTTTTTTTTTAACGTGGAAGTAGAAAATTTTTAATCGCGTAATTTCTTTTTTAAGTAATCGTATTATTCTAATTAAATGAAAAGTTGAAACCTCATTAAAATTAAACGAATGTTGTTTGCACAAAGAAACATAATCTTTTCATTTTTCTTATTTTTTTTTTTTTATGTATTATGTATATTATGTATATTATGTATTATGTACCTTTTTTTTTAAAAACTATTTAAAAAGAGAATTTTAAATTTTTTTTAAAAGTTATTTTCTTTCGATTTTTATACCTCGTTTAAAAAAAAAATTTTTTTTCTTCTGTTTTTTATTTAATTTTCATCGTTACCTGATTCCTCAATATAATCATCATCATTATCATCGTGATGATGTAAAAAATGAATTTTTATATTATATAAAAGTGTAAAAAAATTATTATTATTATTATTCGGTGCGAGGTTTATTTTTTTCGATATTCAACTTATCTCGTTTGTTTAACCTTTTAATTTCCTTTTAACAAAAAAGGAAAATTTTTTTTGTTTTTACATTTATAATGAAAAAAAGAACATAAAGTTTTTTTTGTAACCGAAAAGAGAAAGAGAGGGGGGAAAGAGAAAGAGAGAACAAAAAGAAAGGTAAGAAAAACCTTTGGAATGAGATATATTAATGTAATTTAAAAAAAAAAAAAAAAAACAAAGATGGAAAATTTTAGGGAAATGAAAAGATGAAAAGAGATGAAGCGAAAAAAAAAAAAAAACAAAAAAAAAATTTTTTTTTCCTTTCCATAGAGTAAAAAAACAATCGAAAAATCGCGGGCGCGCGCTCGCGAGAAAGGTCTACAAAATCTTTTGTTGCACCGAAAAAAAAAAAATTTTTTTAACCTTTTTTTGTAATAACAAAAGAATTTTTCTTTACGAAACGAATCTTTTTTTTTATAATTCCGAAAACCTTTTGCTCTCTTATTCATTCATTCATTCATTCATTCAACACCGCCTTCATCCGTTCACTCATTTACCTCCGCTACCGCCTCCGCCGCCATTATAAAAACAACCGACAGGGAAAAATTTTCCAAAAAAAATAAACTCACTTCCCGCCATTTTTTTTTTGCTTTGCTTTCTCTCTCTCTCTCTCGCTCTCTCTCTTTCTCTCTCTTTTCGTGTTTTTTTTTTTTTTTTTTTTTTGGGAAATGAGAAAAGAAAAAGCGGAAGTGCAAAATGGTGGAGGAGGAGGAGGCGTCGGACTCGGTAATTACCCGAAGCTAAAAGTAAATCAACTTAATTTTATTTTATAAGCCCGAGATTCGCTTTATGGTCAACCTGAGTGCCTTAACTCAGATAATGCAAATGCAAATTTTTCCTTCCTTCCTTCCTCCCCCTCTACCTTCTCCTCCCCTCCCCGACCGATTCTTTTACATTTTATACACTCTAACCAACCGTTTCTCTCTCTCTCTCCCTCTTCATTTTTTTCAAAATTTAAAACAAACGAGATGATTCTCGTTATTTTTTTTTTTCGATTAAAATCAATAAAACAACACAAAATTTTTAAATCAAGTAGTATTAATGATAATGATAATGATAACAGGCATAAACTTTTTGTTTGTTTACTCTATGGATTGTTTTTAAAATTCAAACCGGATACAAATGAATAATTCTGGAATTTTCCTTTTAAGTTTTAAACAAATTAAAAAAAATTTTTTTTTCTTTGGATGTTTGCAATCGATAAATTCCAAAAAAAAAAAAAAAAAAAACGAACCGTAATAATAATAATAATAATAATAAATAAAAAATTGAAAATTTCTAAGAAAATTTATTATTATTATTATTTCGTAAAATAAAAATAATTAGCTTGGGAATATTCATTTTTCTCATTTTCAACTTTTTCTTTTATTTTTCCGTTTCTCTCTTTCTCTTTTACCATCTCTCCTCTCCTCTCTCTTTCTCTCTCACTCACTCTTTTTCATTTCTTGTCCCATCGCGGATTTTCCGTTCTTTTTTTTTCTTTTTTGTCTCTCTTTCCCCCCTCCGACGTCGTCATCGTGGCATCCGTTTTTTTTTTTTATTTTTCATCATCGCCTTTCTATTTCTCTCTCTCTCTCTGTCTCTCTCTCCCACACTTTCTAACTCTCTCCCTTGCTCTTCCCCCGGTACTTTTATTAAAAAAAAAATTTTTTCAAATTCAATAAAAAACCATTAGCAAGTCGTTTACGTCTCTGAAAATTCTCGTGGAGCAGTGAAAATGTCAGCAACAGCCAAACCATTTTAAAACTTGATAAAAACAAATAAATAATAAGAAAATTCACGGCGTTAATGAAATAATTTTTCCTATTACAAAAACCTTTTCTGCGGGAGAGAAAGAGAAAGAGAAAAACAGAGAGAGAGATAGAGAAACAGAGAAAGAGAGACAGAGGGGAGAAAGAGAGAAAGGAAAAACAAAAACAAGAAAAAAAAAATTTATTTTTATTTTTTTTCTTTCGCGTTTCTTTTTGTTGTTGTTTGTTTGTTTACGGGAAGTAACAAACTTTAATTAAAAAATTATTATTTAATCGATTAATTAACGGATATACGTCATCAAATACGTCATTGACACACAATCAACTAAGTCATAGCACTTTAAAAAACTTTTTTTTTCATTAATATTTATAATCGTATCGTTTTAAAAAAAATAAATAAAATTCAATATCCGATTTTATTTAAAAAAAAAAAAAAGGCGGGAAAAAAATTTAAATTTTTAAATAATTAATATCCGGTTAAAAAAAATTCTTTTTTTTTTTTAATAGTTTTCGTAACGTGATTAGAATTTAATCGATGTAAAATTAATCCGTTGAAAAAAAAAAAAAAATTATCGATTCGTTGATACAATAAAAAAGGAAAAATGAATCAATCAGTCAAAGGAAACAAAAAAAAAAAAAAAAGGAAACAAAAAAGGAAAAAAACAAACAAACTTACCAAATAACCTACGTTGACCCTGACGCCAGGAAGTTTAAATATTTGTGTTTGTGGATTGTCTTTTGGAATGTAACGAAAAAATTCGTGACCGTCTTTATACCATTTGACGGCATATAGTGACTCCCCTCGAAGTTCGTACCTGCATTCCAAATGGGCATCTTGATCTCGTACGGCATGTTGTGGAATTTTA